ATGAACTCAACTCCTCAAGTCTCTCTCTCTCTATGGTCGGCTAAGGGTCTCACAAATAGGCTAAAGAAATGTTTGATTCAATGTATAAGGCTCAAGTGTGTGTGTGAGATAGTGGTCCACTAGGGGTAGTTCGGTAAATAAGGCTAACTCTGCAATTGATCAATATTTAATCTAATTTAATCGTACCTAATCAGTTTTCAGATAATTATACCATAAAATCATATTAAATATGGCGATCATAATACACTAACCCATTTCCGGTTCGGCCGCCGATAAGGCCTTCAATTAATAGTTTAAACATAAAACACGAACAGATCAAACAAACAGTCAACAGATAAAATGCAATTCAAACAGATGTATTCACTCAATTCAGTTTCAATTTCGGTCAGTCAGTTCAGTACTTTAATCAGTTCAATTCTCAGTCAGTTATCAGTCATTATCAGTTCCGTTTAACAGTAATCGGTGCTTATCGGTAATCAATCAGTCATTCATCAGTAAACAGTATGAGGGTTGTTACAGTTATGTTTATCAAATTACATTGTCAATGCAAAACTTGATTATGCTTACAAGCTTTGATATGTTTTGTTATGAATGGACATTCTATAACCTTTTATCATGTACCTAAATGGCATTCTTGGATCATATCCCACAATGGGGGAAATATCTAATCATGTATTATGGTCGAGCTCATCTTGATCCGTTCTGCTGGTACCCAGGCCGGTTAAGGACCTTGCACATTGTAATCCATGAAATGCTCATTATTATAATGTTTGTAAGTCAAGTATGTTTTGCCTTGTTCAAGTTATAGATATGAATAAGTTATGTTAATGTTATTTTCCTAAAACTCATGGATGTTCATTCATTTACCACCTTACTTTATTACTATTCACTAAGCAATAGCTCGCTCATTTTACTTATATATATGTAGGTAACGAAGAGTTCAAGTACAAGGAAAAGTTAATTAAAAGCTGGTCTTTTATGGTTATATCAATTAGCAAAATTGAGACACATGTATTGTAATATGTTATTTATTTATGTCTTGTAATAATGTAATGTAATGGTTCTAAAAAAAATGTATACTCTCATTTCATATAGTTATGCACTGCCCTGAATAAATGTTGTAAATAGACTCTAAATAACAAATAATGGCTTCTGCACATCAGCAAAAAAGAATTTTTGCCCCAATTATATTAAGAGTTTGTCTTGCTTTTGTTTTGTTAGGCCTTTGGTAGTTGAGAACTACTGGCCAATCACTACGCAATCCTATTTGGCACAGGTTAGGGCTGTGACACTATGTGTCAAATCTGAATGTAGAGATGCAAGAACATGAATAGCATAAGAAGAATGAAACTGAAATAGGGGGATTGAGGGACTTATATGCCTAAAATATGAGAATGTGAGCCGAATGCTTGTTCACAGGGATGAGATGAAGCTTTTGATTGGAGCAGAATAGTTGATTACTCACCGGAGGTGATTGAATGGAGTAGTTGCAGAATGCTTGAAGGTTTGGTAATGGTGGATTAAGAGAAGTCTAAAGAGAGAGGGTTGAAAGGTTGAAGTGAAGGGATGAAGAGATAAATGGGAAGTTTTGTTGAAAATATGAAAATGTAACAACGAAATGATTTCAAAGGCCTTGGGAGATGTGCCCTTGTTGACGTCAAGCAGCGTAGGACAATATTGATGGGATGCATTTGTCGCGTGATGAGTATGAGCCAGTGACAAAGTGGCACGTGGATGAGACGGTTGAGTTTGTTATAGGATGACAACTTACACGCGTCTTTGGTTCTTTAAATTCTTGAGCTAGTGGGTCATGACCTTGGCTTATGATGCAATCATAGATGAGCTGATGTATTTGAATCATGACATGTTGTTCCTGGTTTTTGATGAGTGGACATTTGAGTCTCTGTTTCTTGAAGTCGTCGAGTCATGATCTTGGTCGGAGGAGTATCTTTAGTATGCTATTTAGCCAACATGTTAGGAGATCAAATAATATAGGTACCATCACCTCAAGTTGCCAAGGTAATAGAACTTATGGGGCAGTTGTGGGGAAATATTTTTAGGTTGTCCATGTGGCTGAGGTGGTTAATCGAGGTGCAACGTGGACGAGCCATGTTGCCGAGGTCAATATGATATTGCCGAGATATAGTGCGGTAATATCAGAATCTGAGATTGTTGGATAAAGGACAAGAGTTCAAAGCAAGTAAAGGCTCTATGTATGGATATAGATGAGATTCTTTAGGAAGTTCATCATTATCTGAATAGAGGAGTCTGAGATGGTTGTGATCCTAGTGAAGGGGTGGAGTTCTATGAGGTGACACTTATAGGGGCTGGGGGTACTGCTAGTTATAAAAGTAAGGCACTCCTGCGGGTCGAAGGTGTGCTTTTACTTGTGCACTGTTATTTTGAGTTAATATCTTGTGAGATTGTTTGATTGACTTGATCATCGGAGTGCCCCAAGTGGACAAGCTACGTTGGTATTTTTTACTTATTTGTGTGCAGGTTTAATTTATTTTCTTGCGTGTTCTGCAGTTAAGTTTTTTAAATCTCTGCAGAAAGATCTATTTGGTTATGAGGCTAAAAATCAACACTTACAAATAATATATATATATATATATATATAAACTAGCGTATGCCCGTGTCTGAAGGCACAATTGAAATAATATTAGGATTCGAATATAATTGTAATCCCAACACTATTTAAATTTATTTTTTAATTTGATAAAATCACAAATTTATTATAAAATTTTGGAGTCCTCACAAAACTTCTCACGAAAACTCGTTTTTACTTATTTAATAAATAGCTAGATAGATAGATGTGCCTAGCATACATACAATTTCCACGGACATACATACAATACTGCTTTTGCTTATGTAATTATATGGAAATTGTATGTATGCTGTAATGTCCTAATGTATTACTGTCATACATACATTGTATGAAAATATGTGTAAAATATATTGAACAAAAAGGAGAAAAATAAAAAAAAAACAAATAGAGAGAAAAATAAAAACGGGAAAAAATAAAAAAAAAGAGAGAGGAAGTCGGGATCATGGAAGGAGGGGTGTGAGAAAAGTAAAAAGTAAGAGAGAAAGAGGCAGGAAAGTAGAAAATGTATATGTAGAATATTTTTTGAAAAATATATCTCAGCCATTGTTTTATAATTTGAACAGATCTGAGCCATCCAAATGTCCTAATAGGACAAAAATATGTTGAAGATTCCAAAACCGTCATGCTTTATTAAAATATGTTGAAGATTGATATGAGGTCTAAATTTACGAAGTGTATTAGGTGTTCAATATAGTTAAAAATAATAATTAATTGTTCAAATTTATTTAATTTGGGGACTAAAAAATTCATTAATATAATCTCCACTACTCACAGTAAAATCTGACTCTTAATCCTGAGATCGCAGACCTTTCCATATAATATGAATAAAATATGTGAACAAAAAAGAGAAAATAAAAAAAATAAACAAATAGAGAGAAAAATAAAAATGGGAGAAAATAAAAAAATTAAATTAAAAAAAAGAAAGAGGAATGTGGGATTATGGGACCATAGAATGATGCGTGAGAAAAGGAAAAAGAGAGAGAAGCGGGAAAATAAAAAATGTACATGTATGATATTTTTTAAAAAATATATTTCAGCCGTTATTTTGTAATTTGAATAGATCTAAACCGTCCAAATGTTCTAGCAGAACAAATGTGTGTAGGACAAATTCAGAAATCATCATACTTTGTTATATAGATATATATATATTTTATATTTTAACTAATCAAAGTGAAAGAATATAGTTGAAACTGGTCTTAATTGAATATTATAATGCTAGTGTTTATTTATCTTTTGATGATTGTAGAGTCAAATTTATTGGACCACCAACAATCAAGTGGGAAAATTCACATGGCAAACCAAGAAACCAACGGGAGAAAATAAAAAAAACGTGAATATAAAAACACGTCTGTTGTCATGAATGCATGTACGAAAAAATTCAATCCAACGGTTGGTAACCACCCGATTCAAAAAGATTACTTAAACAGGAAGACAAATCCAATTTTTTCAAAATCCCATTTTACGTGTACCATACAACAACTATCATATAAAAAAGGTCATAATTAATATATTAATATATATTATAATAATATTATTTTAATATTACGACTTTATTTATTATATAAATTATAAATATTTAAAATTATGTCATATTTGTTACTATATTAATTAATATATTAATTAGTACATATAATAGTATTTAAAAAATAAATATTAATTGATATAATAACTAATGTATTAATGAATGGCATACATAATAATTTTTTATAATTTATATAATGAATAAATTTGTAATCTTAAAATTATAATATTACAACATATATTAGTTTAGTAAGGGTTGGTTTGGCAAGTTTTAAAAAAGTCAAAAAGTTAAAAAGTTACTATCCTATTTAAGTCACATCATCTTATTTCAATCACATCACTTCTCTAATACATCACTTCAAACCTAATCTAAATCCAACTCATATTTCATAAAAAGTCAAAAAGTGCACTTATTTAGATCATTCCCTTAAGGTTTGTTTGGAGTACTTTAAAAAAATCAAAAAGTCACTATCCTATTTAAGTCACATCACCTCTCTACCACATCACTTTAAATCTAACCCATACCTAACTCATATTTGACAAAAAGTCAAAAAATATATTTATTTACATCATCCCAAACCATCTCCAATTAATATATTAATAAATAGATGGTGAACCACCCTTACAGAAAAATTAAAACATAGTGCTATATGTATCAATTAGTATAGTTATGATATTATTACTGACTACACTCATTATATAAATAATAAATATTAAAAATATCTTAAATTATACTACATTATCAATTAATACACTAATTAATATATCAATCACTGCTATTATTCAAATTAAAAATGTAATCTGTTTAAAAACGTACGCCGACAACAACAACACAGCGAGGAGGAAATGGTACTGGTGGCGTAGTCTCTGTGGAGGGAATATGCCATTTTGTGGTTCTTCGCAGACGTTTTCAGATGCTAAGTCGGTCCGATAATTCCCCATTTTTATATATACACCCACATGCCGCTTTCCTCTTCCTTCACTCTCTCTCCTCCATCCTCGCCTTCAGGTATTCCTCTCTCTCTCTCTCTCAATTTTTTTTCTCTCTGAATTGCGTGTTCAACTTTTGAAGCGTTGTGGATGGTGTTAGTCTACACAATCGGTGGTTGTTCGATTTGGATACAGCGGTTTTTTTTTTGGATAATAAGCAATCCCTAATTTTCTTATAGACCAATTCTGGGTTTCGCTTTTTCCAGTAACCTAATTCTAACCGTTTTAACGGCAACGCTTGCATGAACACAATATTTTATCTAAAAGGTTGAAAATAGTGTTGTCAATTTTGGAAACCTTGTTTGAACTTGCTTAATTTTGATACATGCTCTGCTCTGCTCTCTTTGTTTGGTAGTAATAATGGGGTGTGTCATATTTGGGAGTTAGTTGAATAAGTTTGTTAAAAAATACTACTTTAAGTATTTATTAGTATTGATACTGGTTCCATCTTAACCTTCTTTATTTTTAGTTGTTTTATTAACCTTGGCTTGAATAGATAGAATAGAAGCAATTAAAAATCTTACTTTAAATGAATAGATAGAAATTATCAAAAATCTTACTTTAAAAATCTAACAACTAGCACTGACTTTCGCGGATCAAAAAAATTATGTTATACGGTTCATTAGTACATTAGACTTGGCCTGATTAGTACATTAGTTATTATATCAATTAATATATACAGTTTATTCTTTAAATAATACTATGTGTACTAATTGATATATTAATTAATGTATTAACAGATAATATGATATAATTTTAGAAACTTTAAATATTTATAATTTGTATAATGAATAAAGTCATACTATTAAAGTAGTAATATTATAACATTAGTTATTAAAGTCTTAACCTAATAACCTTGAGGTTCTGGGTTCAAGTATTGGGACCGCCACTTTGTGCATTATGCTCAATCCTTCCCTTTCCAAACACACATTAATGCGTACTAATTAGGCGTTGTTTTTAAATAAATCAAGCTTCATATCAGTAGACATAAGATTCAACAATTTAGTAGAATTGAAGTGAGGCCATTGCCATTGGTTATCTCTTGTAATGCAAGTTTCCTTAGAGCATCATTTTCCAAGGTCAGAATCATATATGACTCTATCCCTCATTCTAGAATGTATCCATGGGGTAACCAGTTATCATACCACAAGGAAGTGAACTCACCATTCCCAATTAACGATTTTAAATGAGGATGTAGAACTGGAATAGATTTGATAATTTGTTATTGGCCACAGCCATCCTAGTTTATATCAATCACCCAATTATTGTTTTATCTGTAGACAGCAGACAAGCAATTGACCGAAGCAATTTTGAATGACTAAAGCATTTTATTAATATGTTTTTGAATTTGTGCTCAGGATTCAAGACCAGATCTTTATGGTGGATTTGGTGCTTACAAAGTGGACTTTCTTTGCAAGAATTTGAATTAAGTGAAATAACCTGGATGCAAGATGGGTTCTGACTGGCAGTCTGTTGGTTTATTAGATACCCTCAAAATGGAAAGGGTTAGGACAATTTTAACTCACACATATCCTTATCCACATGAGCATTCACGTCATGCTATTATTGCCGTGGTTGTGGGTTGCCTGTTCTTTATCTCGTCTGATAATATGCATACTCTCATACAAAAGTTAGACAACAACATCAAATGGTGGTCAATGTATGCTTGTCTCCTTGGTTTTTTCTATTTCTTTTCATCTCCTTTTTTAGAGAAGACAATTAGACCAAGTTATTCAAATTTCAGTCGGTGGTAAGTTTTTGCTCTTTTTCTCTAGTTTATATATATTTGTATCTGCAATACATGTTTTTATGAACACCTGCATTAATTATAGCTCAAGAATTCCTAAGATTGAGTTCATGGGTTTTGCTATTTGGCAACTTTTTTTGTTGCAGGTATATAGCTTGGATTTTAGTGGCAGCTTTATATCATCTTCCTAGTTTTCAATCAATGGGAGTGGATATGAGGATGAATCTCTCTTTGTTTTTGACAATATTTGTGTCATCGATTTTGTTTCTTCTTGTTTTCCATGTAATATTTATTGGCCTCTGGTATATTGGTCTCGTTGCTCGTGTGGCAGGAAAGAAGCCTGAAATCCTGACCATTATTCAAAATTGTGCGGTGAGTCTTGAAGACATATCTTGTACTAAAATGAAATATATACCCAAACTTTTAGATCTTGCTTCTACAAGACAGTCCTTTTTAAAGAATAAAAATAAACATTGATGTCCTTGTTGTTTTTATAGGTTTTAAGCGTAGCCTGCTGTGTGTTCTATAGTCATTGTGGCAACCGTGCTATTTTGAGGGAAAAGTCTTTTGAACGAACAAATTCTGGTTGGTTTTCTTTTTGGAAGAAACAAGAGCAAAAAACATTGCTTGCACAATTCCTCCGCATGAATGAATTTAAAGACAAGATATGCTCATCATGGTTTGCTCCAGTTGGGTCTGCTAGTGATTATCCTCTTTTGTCCAAGTGGGTTATTTATGGTGAGGTATGGTTTGGATCCATAATGCCATAAATTTCATCTAATATCTAATTGTTCATATCATGGACATTCTTTATGTTGTTATTATGTTTTTTCCTTATTCCTTCTTTCAGTTAGCTTGCAATGGCTCATGTGTGGGATCAGTAGATGGAATTTCTCCGATATATTCGTTATGGGCCACATTTATAGGCCTCTACATTGCCAATTATGTAGTGGAAAGATCAACAGGGTGAGTGATAACTTCTATACTGTATCTTTTCTTATTTCGTATTGATTATTTATTATTTCGTATTGACCATAGCTGGGGCTTAAGAGGAGACTTCTTGATCTATTCCTTTTATTCTAAGATGGCTTGTTCCCTTAAATTTTCTCTCTATAGCTGATAGCAAAGCGTCTCTTGGTTTTGGCTGGTGTTCAATTCATTCTCGTCAAGAACAGTGGTGATTTCCTTCTGCTATGCATGTTGTTGTTTTGACATGCTGCTAGTGATAAGGTTGATCTTACTTTCTGCATTGTGCTATTATCCAATTGGCATTACTCATTACAAAAAAGAAAAAAAAGGAGCGCTGCCCCATACCTGATCAGTTTATGTTGATTATTTGTGATCGTGTTAAGGGGATCTTACTGTTGTCATTGTGTCACTACCTAGTTGACAACTGTCACTGAAAAAAAAAAGAAGAGAACCTTACCTGATTAGCTAGTGCTGATTGTTTGTAGATAGATTTCTCTCTTATTGGATGTGGGACAGAAGTATTGAATATTGTGCAAAGTATTCAGTATGCTTGTTTAGATAATTAAGTCTCCTATTTCTTGTCCTTTTTTGTTTCACATTTTACTTCATTGATGCCTGTTGACCAACAGATGGGCTCTCACTCACCCATTGTCAGTCAAAGAATCCGAGAAGTTGAAGAAAAAACAAATGAAACCTGATTTCTTGGAAATGGTTCCTTGGTATTCAGGGTATGTGTTTTTTTTCAAAATACCCTTTTTTCCCCCCATCTTATTGTCACTTTGATATGTGGGTGGTGTGATGTATGGGAAGGGGTAGATGAGGTCTTAATGTTGCTGATGACCATTGCAGGACGTCAGCTGATTTGTTCAAGACAGTTTTTGACCTCCTGGTATCAGTAACTGTATTTGTTGGGCGTTTTGATATGCGCATGATGCAGGTATAGCTTTTACTATTCCATGCTATTAGTTGACCTTATGTTGTTTTCATTCGGTGTTTTTATCTCTTCCACAAATGGCCAAAATCTCTCTCCTGCCCTCCTTCCCTCCCTTTTTGTATGTGTGTATCCTCTGGAAATGTTTCAAAAATTCTGATGTTTTTCAAGGATGAGAGATCTTTTTTATTTTTTCCCAAAAGGATTAAAACTACAGTACCTTCATACAAATGTGCAGTAATTAATTGGATTTCTGAGGCTTTCTATGTGAATATTGACGTGAAAAATGCAAGAAACTTTTGCTGGTGAAGATTCTTGAGAGGTGGATTTTAAGGCAAAGGCTCTTTTTGATGCCATATTTTTTGGGACCTCGAGTGTTGTGGGTTTTTTATGTTACTAGGTATGATTGTAGTAATTGTGGGTCATTTTTGTATTAACATATAACAAAACAATTATTCGGTATGGTTATTTTTCATTCTCCATTTACATGCAAATATGCCTTTCTTGCTGGCAATTCAATATCCTGCTTTATTGTATTGAACTTTTTGCTATAAATCTTCTCGTTCCTTCTACTTTGAATATTTTTTCACAACCTTGGGCGCAATTACCCTTTTTTTTGGGGTTATTTCACTTGTGGATGAATGTGAAATTACAGTGCTCTTTTTGCACAAAGCATGCTCTTTCTTTTTATTCTTTCGACAGTTGTGTGTTATTCCTACAACTTTATTGATCGAATTCCCTTTCACAATTTAATGATATTTTTTCATTTGTTTTTCCTTTCTCCAATCGTAAGGCGGCAATGAGTAGGGTTCAAGATGGGCCTCAAAATACCGATCTTTTGCATGATCAGTTCAGCGAGAAGGATGATATGTGGTTTGACTTTATAGCGGATACTGGGGACGGTGGAAATTCTTCCTATACTGTGGCAAAACTTCTTGCTCAACCCTCCATTCAGCTTCATAGTGGGGATAAAGTGCTTGACCTGCCACGTGGAAACCTTCTTTTGATTGGGGGTGATCTTGCGTAAGCTTGCCCTTACCTATTTATGATCATGATATTTGAGATGTTGAGTAAATTGTTGATGCCAACTGTTGATTCGTTAGGAGCAACACATTACAAGGATTGTTCTAGGAGTCCTGTGACTTTGTGAGGTGTGATGCCCATTGGTCAATCCTTGAGATGACCAGTGCATTCTTGAGATGACCAGTGCATTCTTGTGGATTAGAAGAAATGGAATGCCTACTCTAAAAATTCTTTGGGGCAAGACAAATGGATATGATATATACATATATTGTGGATTTTAGGAAGAGATTTTATTGTCTCAAATGCACAAATAAAATATCTTAGAATTCAAAATTTTAAGACAAAAGAACTAAGAACAAAAGGGATATATCAAGCTTCTTAATTGTACTTTTTTTTATCACATGAAGTTGTTTTTGTTGATGTTATAATTAAGGGTTGGTTTGGGAACCCCTATAATAGTCAAAAAAGTAACTGAAAAGCCAAAAAACTATACAAAAGTCAAAGATACTCTTTTCCTTGTACTTTTTCACCTTTTTTTTTTTTTTCCCCGTAAAAAGCCAAAAAAATCCTAAACATACTAGTTTTTTTAACCTCATATTTTAGCAAAAAATCCAAAAAATTACGAAAATAGCCTATTCGCAAACGAACCCTGATTCTTCCAACTGCAGATTTAATTGTGACATATTACTTTAGGACCAATGCATTCTTGTGGAAACAGAATAAACATAGAATATTCTACAGGTTGTCTTTATTAGATAGCTTGATGTATATTGTTGGGTCTAATTCCTAGTTGCTTAAGCTTTTGGAATAATTAGTGACTCAACATGATATCAGAGCTCTAGTTCCAGAAGGCTTTGGGTTCAAGACTTGATATGAGTGTATGTTCCTCTGTTATGCCTATCATTATGCACTAAGTTTTGTGTGTGCTTGTACACATGTTTAGTTTCCTCTATTTGCCTCTCTACCTCTCGACATGCAAGATGGGATTACATGATTGTAAGATAGCTTCTATACCATGTTCGAGTCATTTTTGTACATCTTGAGCTTTTGGAATAATTGGTGACTTGACTGTGTTTGTGTGAGGGATTTGGGGTGGGAGTTAATATGAATTAGGAATTTGTGAATCCTTAGTTTTAAAATTCTTGGTGCAAAATAGATGGATTTTTTATTTTTATTTTTTTATTTTTTTTTGTGGATTTTGCAAAGAAATTTACAGTCTTAATGCACAAATGTTCTATTTTCACAATATGAAAGCTCTCACGGTATGCTCTATTTTCAAATTATTACTTACACAAAACATGGATATGATACCATATGGACATGCAAACATGAGAACAACAAATAAACATATATATTTTTATACGTATTAGTTGGAATGCATAATGAATCAATTTAGGGTTAGGGTTTAGGAGGAAGAAGAAGAAGAGATAAGAGAAAAGAGAGAGAATTTTATATATATAGAAATCTGTAAGAAATAATGTATAGAGAAAGAGAGAGAATAAATTGTATGTATTATTATTGATTGATATATTGATTCTGTATTACAAGATTGATTAATTACTTCAAATTATTACTTACACAAAACATGGATATGATACCATATGGACATGCAAACATGAGAACAACAAATAAACATATATATTTTTATACGTATTAGTTGGAATGCATAATGAATCAATTTAGGGTTAGGGTTTAGGAGGAAGAACAAGAAGAGATAAGAGAAAAGAGAGAGAATTTTATATATATAGAAATCAATCTATTAATTACATCAACCAAAATATATATACAAACCCTAACCTAGTGATATGACCATCGTACCCTCAACTTAAGTAAATATTAATAGAAAAACTATAAAATAGAAAATAAGAACTGTTCTAACACTCCTCGAGGTGGAGCATAGAGATCAAACATGCTCAGCTTGGCAGATAAACAATGAAATGAAGACTGAGCCAAAGGCTTAGTAAGAATATCACTCAATTGATCTTCAGAACGAACGTAAGGAGTCACAATTTGCTTGCGGAGTAAGAGATCACGAATGAAATGGCAATCAACGTCGACAAGTTCGGTTCGTTCATGAAACACGGGATTGTTGGTAATGAAGATAGCCGCCTGATTATCACAAGACATGCACAATGGAGTGGGAACAGAAAAACCAAAATCTTGGAGAAGAGACTAAACCCCGAGCATTTTAGAAGCAATATGAGCCATGGCATGGTACTCAGTCTCGGCACTAGAACGAGCAACAACAGTCTGTTTCTTGCTGCACCAAGTAGCAAGTTTACCACCAACAAAGGTACAATAGCCGGAGGTGGAATGGTGGTCAGTCTTATTACAAGCCTAATTAGCATCACTAAAGCCGGTGACAGACAACGAGAAAGAGGGGCGACAGAGCAAACCCCGACTAGGGGTACGCTTCAAGTATTACAAGATATGACAAACAACAGCAAAGTGAGGTTGGCGGGGAGCATGCATAAATTGACTAACCACTCCTACGACATACGTAATATCGGGATGAGTGACAGTGACATAGATTAACTTTCCAACCAACCGACGATAACGACCAATATCAGGAAATAAGTCTCCGGTGTCACCATCAAGTTTGACACTAGAATTCATGGGAGTATCACTAGGACGAGTGCCTAAGAGACCAGTCTCAGTGAGAAGATTAAGAACATACTTCCGTTAGGAGAGAAATAAGCCCTGAGAAAAGCGAACAACTTCAATGCCAAAAAAATACCGAAGATGATCCAAGTATTTGGTGTGAAATTGTTGTCCCAAATACCGCTTCAAATCAGCAATACCAGTGGAATCACTCCCACTTCTAGAAATGATGATGTCATTGACATAGACAATAAGAACAATGCTCCCAGTAGACGAGTGACGAACAAAGACCGAGTGATCAAAGGTGGAACGACTAAAACCATAGGCGATAACAACAACACTGAAACGATCAAACTAGGCACAAGGGGACTGCTTGAGACCATACAAAGCCTTCCGCAATTGACAAACAAGATGCTCATGACCGATAACAACATAGCCAGGGGGCTGATCCATATAGACCTCCTCTTGGAGATTGCCATGAAGAAAGGCATTCTTGATATCAAGTTGATATAAAGGCCAACAGAGAAAAGGATCCGAATAGAGTTAAGACGAGCCACATGAGAGAGAGTCTCCAAATAATCGATATCATAGGTTTGTGTGTAGCCTTTGGCTACCAAGCGAGCCTTAAGCCGCTTAACAGTCCCATCAGGAAGATACTTAACAGTATAAATCCAACGACATCCCGCAACAGATTTGCTAGACGGTAGAGGGGTAAGTTCTTATGTCTGATTTTGATGAAGGGAATGTGTTTCCTCATTCACGGCATGCTTTCAACCAGAGATGGACATAGCTTGCTGGTATAAACGAGGAATGGAAATACTAGACAAGCTACAAGCAAAGGAGTGAAGACCAGGAATGAGATGAGCATAAGAAACAAAATTAGCAATAGATGGTGAGTGCAAGTATGTTTACCTTTGCGAAGGGCAATAGGACGGTCATCAGAGGGCACATCGGCAGAAGGAACAGGGGAGGCAGGAACCTCGAATGCAGGAGATGAACTAGTCGGGCTACAAAACACAATGCAACGAGCTTGGTAGAGGCGATACGAGAGGGAGAAGATATAGAAGAGGACAGGGAAGGATCACAAGAGGGAAGAGTAAGGGTGAGGGAGGCAGGCTCCCCCTCACGACAAGACAGAAGATCAGTGGATAACTAGTGCCCAGAGGGTGAGAAAAAAGGAGTGAGCTCAAAAAAGCTAATATCAGCACTAACAAAGTATCAACGTGACTCAGGATGATAACACCGATACCCTTTTTGAGTACAAGAGTAGCCCAAGAACACACTTGCTAGCACGAGGAGATAACTTATCCAAACCGGGGTCAAGAACATAGAAAAAGTCAACACAGCTAAAAACTCGATGGGACAAGGGAAAAGGAGACGATGTGGATATAAATGATCATATGGAGATGTGTGGACAATACTAGAGGGCATGCGGTTAATAAGGAAACAAGTGGTGAGAACCGCATCACCCCAAAATTGTTTAGGGACATGCATATTAAACATCAGTGTGCGAGCAACATCTAACAAATGACAGTGTTTTCTCTTTGCAACACCATTTTTAGGAGATGTATGAGAACAACTAGTTTGATGAATAATACCACGATCATCGCAAAAGGTAGTCACAATAGACTGTACATATTCTGAGGCATTATCGGACTGAAATATCTTAATATGTTTCCCAAATTGAGTAAAGATTTTATTATAAAACTTAGAAAGGATAGAAGGCAAATCAGAATGTTGTTTCATTAAAAATAACCAAGTCATCCGAGAGATCATCCACAAAAATAACAAAATAATAAAAAAAAAAACCGTTAACAGTGGGAGTTCTAGAAGGACCCCAGATATCTGTATAGACAAGAGCAAACGACTCAGACACATGACTAACTCTACGACTAGGAAAAGAACTACGGTGATACTTTCCAAGTTGATAGGCTTTACACTCAATTTTAGAGACACGACTCAAACCAAGAACCGTTAACTTGAGCTTGGCCAATGAGGAATAGCCCAAGTGAAAATGCCACTGGAGAGGAGATATAGTAGCACTTAACACTGTAGATGAAGGAGGAGAAGTCTCAGTGTCCAAAAACTATAAGCCATCCTTCTCATGCCCCGAACTAATCATCCTCTTGGTCTGAAGGTCTTGTAAAACACATGAAGTGGGAGAAAATGTTATGGAACCGTGGAGAGCTTGAGTCAATTGGTTAACAAATAGCAAATTTGTTGTAATTTATGTAATGTTGTAATTTATGTAATATTGATTGTTATTGATGGGATGAAGAGGACCTTGATCACTAATAGGTTAAGAAGATCCATCAGCAAGTATAATAGTAAGATCACTAGGGCGAAGAGTATCAAAAAGGGATGAATTACCAGAGATATAGGAAATAGCACTAGAGTCTAGAAGCCAAGGCTGAGTAGACTAGGCCACACATGCAACTTTACTTGAATTAGCCCTAGTAGCAGTAGAGAGTGAAGGCAGACTGGGCTGAAGAGATTGGACAAGAGCGGTAAGCTCACAAATCTGAGTAGTGAGAGTCTCATGAGAATCAACTGGAAAACCGGTGGAAAACAAGGGTGACTATGAGGATGAAGCATTCATAACCTGATGCACATGATCAGGTTTGCCATACTTTTGCCAACACCATGGTTCAGTATGACCTTGGGAACCACAATGAGTACATGTGATCACCATGTGTGTGAGAACCAGGTCCACTACTACCGCCTCCAAGAGAACTACCACCACGGAATCCATCACCACAAGAACGACCTCCACGAGAACCCCGGGGACCAGAATAAGAACCTCGTGAACCAGAAGAGACATAAAACGCTCCGTGAGTAGACCCTCGATCACTTCTACTAGAGACTAAAGTAGAATAAGCCAATGTAGAGGACCCAGATGGGGGTTGGGATTGGCCCAAAGAAAAACGTGACAGCCGATAATAGGCATTAGTAGCAGATGGTAAAGTCTCAGTGGCAAGAATTTGATTCTTGAACCCCCTCAATTCAGGATCTAAGCCGGAAAGTAAGAAAGCCATCATAAATTCCTCCCAATGTTGCTTTTATTTATTCACATTAGTAGTGAAGGGTTGATGCTACAATAACTGATCCTACAAGGTTTTGAGACTACTATAATACTCGGGAAGTGACCGACCAGATTGGCGCATAGCAAAAATCTGCTCATATAACTCATAGACCTCGAGAGACATTACTTTGATTCAAAAAAGATTCAGCTAGGGAGTCCCAAATTTCCTTAGAGGTATCACAAAATTCCATGGTAGTAGCAATATGTGGTTCTAGACAATGCCAAATCCAACCCATAACATAAGAATCCTCACTCATAGCCTTTATCATCCCCAGTAGGTGTAAAGTTCAGTAAGAAATTGTGACTTCTTGCCACGTAAGAAAATCTTAACTACATGAGCCCAAGCCAAATAATTTAAACATTTAATTTCTTAATGGTAATTGACTTGGGTATTTCATCATCCTTAATTACAGAGGATTGAGAAGCAACTCTTGGTTCAACCATAATACCAGAGGAAGATGGAAGAGCAACCGAAAATTTGAGCAGAGCATAAAGAAGCAACCTACACAGCAACAAGAATAGCCCAACAACAATCAAGCAAAAAAACTCCAACAGTAGAACATCAACACACAACCAAACACCAACCCAACAACAAGAATCGCCCAATAATAGATTTCCAAGTTACAGAATCAATCTAGAGAGAAGAATTCCTATCTGTTGAATAGGGAAATGCTGAAATCGACACAAAAAACTCTAAAAATGCACCACCAAATCACAAAACAACAATCAAGGATGATGAAGCAACAATTTTCGGCTCCAATAGAAGGTAATCCAATAGGTAGAAATCGCAGATAACTTGCAAAATCATAGAACAAAAAATTGACACCAAATAATTTGAAAATCATTCAAAACTACAAAACTTACATCAGATGATTCTAAAAAATTTTGGAAAAATCAGCATTAATCTCAGGGAAGAGAGGTAACCCAATAGGTCGCAACTCGTCCATACGGACTATGATATCATGCTGACGTCATCATTCGAAAGATGACGTTAGCACGTTTTTGCCTCAGAAGAAATTCGAGAGTTTGACAACTAGTAGACAAAGATGGATTGCTGCACTGATGCCAAGTTGGAATGTATAATGAAGCAATTTAGGGTTAGGGTTTAGGAGGAAGAAGAAGAGATAAGAGAAAACAGGGAGAATTTTATATATATATGGAAATCAATCTATTCATTACATCAGCCAAAAAATATATACAAACCCTAACCTAGTGATATGACCATTGTGCCCTCAACTTAAGTAAATATTAATTAAAGAACTATAAAATAGAAAATAAGAATTATTCTAATAGTATCCATGAAAATAATGACTATTTCTTCATTTTTACATTACATTTTTATTTTATTTTACTCTTTCAAGAGGAAATAAAAGTGAATAAAAAATTGAGTTATTTACACTAAGACTCCCTCAACTATTATCGAATATCACTTTATCCCAATTATCTATGAATGCGTACATTTTGACCCCCCTCAACTATAAAAAAAATTGTACAAATACACCAATTTGGAGGTGGTCTTGAGAGGGTGAAGCGGATACCTTTTTATAGTTTGAGGGGGTCAAAATGTATTGGTTATAGATGAGGAGGGTGAAGTGACATTCACTAATAGTTGAGAAAGTGTTGGTGTAACTAACCCAAAAAAAATTCTATTATCAAATCTTGGAAGCTCCATTCATAAACAAATAAGAATTATGGAGCATTAGAATTTCTAAAATTTAAAACGCCTAAAGTATGAAGGATTAATAGGCAACAAACCACATTATTTTTATTTTTTTCATTATATCCCAATTCATTTCTTTAACCTTGCAATGTGTGTTTCTTGTCTTAATAACCTTGAGGTTATGGGTTTGAGTCTTGGGACAATCACTTTGTGCACCATGGCAAATGTGTACCCAATATTTCTCTCCCAAGCACACATTAATGTGTACTATTTGTGTATTGTTTTTTTTAAATATTTTTTTCTCTCTCTAAATGGAAACTTTTGTAATGGACTGGGTATGTTCACACTTTTTCTTTTTAACTATTTTTTTAATGGATTAAATCATAATTACCTTTGTTGGGGGTCAAATAACTTTGGTATTTATGCTTCTAATTTTTCGTTCTTATATTGATTGAACCCCAAGCGATTTGCTTCATTATTCCATTCCTTTGGTTAGCTAAAAAAGTTAACTTTTTGTCACACAAAACTTAAGCACCACTTCGATTAAGGAATTGTGTACAACAATAATTTTACAATATCTCTTACACTTCAAAATTCTTGGTGCAAGTATTCTATTGACTCTTTCAATAATTACAAGGTGAAGTTGTGTTTCAAGTGCATTTGTTCTAGGAATATGATTATTAAGTAGTTGATTAAACCCCAAGGGGTTGGCCTAGTGGGTGCAGCTTGGGGTCTGGGGGTGTAGTCCCTCCAGGTCTCAAGTTCAACTCCTACTAGATGCTATCAACTCCTTGGGGCCAGGCCTGCGGGTTTTTCGCGAGATTTGCCTGATTTATGTGGAGGGGCTGCTTTGCAGGAGTCTCAGGATTAGTCGAGGTGCGCGTAAGTTGGTCTAGACATCCAGTTATAAAAAAAGAAAAGAAAAGATAGTTGATTATTAATGACTATTATTTACAATCATCAAGAGCGCTTGATTTGGGAAATTCAATCTAGGGTATCATTGAATTTTATTTCCTTCTTAATACAAATCTTTTGTGGGGTGTGTTCTCATATTTGAATTTGGAAAATCTCTCCAATTACAATGTCCAATTGAGATTTAAAATCTTATTATGGAACATGTCATTTACAAATCATCTTTACAAAAATATGATGAAACTTGGAAGTGAGGGAAGATAAGGTCAAAAACTAGCAAGACCGACACCATTGCCTCCAGATGCCATCAACACTATTACTGGAAAATTAAGTTACATGCACTCTTCTAAATTTGCAAAATATCCGTGTCGGAGGGTAAGGGTTTGGAATATGTGTTTGGCAAATTTAGTTGGACATGCATATCTAGCAATTGAGTTACTATGTAACTATGCATCAAATGCTCTATGTTAGTTTGTAAATGTCATTTTTTCTAAGAAATATGGGAAAAATATTCAGATATATGAATATCTAATTGTGTCATAGTATTCTTGGATATGAAAAATATACGAATTTGATACAGACACATATCTGCACCCAGCATATGTTTCTGAGTCCATGTAACTTAGCCAACAATGCATCAAGGTCCCAACAACCACAATGTGGAATGTATTACTGTTATTTAAGTGCTACAATGTACTATCTCTGGGTATTTAATTGTGTAGATGTCACCTTTGGTTTCCCAAGATTTTCTGTAATTTTTACCATCTATTTTGAGTTTCATTAAAATCAAGATCGGAATTTGTATTTTGATATCCATTTATTTTTTGTTGGCATATAGGTATCCTAATCCATCAGCGTTTTCATATGAAAAGCGCTTCTTTTGCCCCTTTGAATATGCTCTCCAGCCTCCATCATGGTATAAAGAAGAGCATGTAGCTGTAAACAAGCCAGAGTTACCTTGTGGGGTGTCTGAACTGAAGCAGTATGATGGACCTCAGTGTTTCGTTATCCCCGGAAACCATGGTCTGTCTTGGTTCCTGGTCTTGACTTCTCTAATTATTGTTTCTGCGATGAGTAAAAAGTTGTTATTGTACTACGATATGCATTTTTCTACCAGTGTAAAATCCCCTGAACCACTGTCACTGGTTTGTTTAGAATTTGGTTCCTTATGGTATATAATTTTTTTTATGATTTAACAGATTGGTTTGATGGCCTTCAAACCTTTATAAGGTACATTTGTCATAAGAGCTGGTTGGGTGGATGGCTTATGCCTCAGAAGAAAAGCTACTTTGCTTTGCAACTACCTAAAGGGTGGTGGGTCTTTGGTCTTGACCTCGCCCTCCATTGTGATATTGATGTATACCAATTCAAATTCTTTTCAGAATTAATAAATGACAAGGTATCGTCTCTTGACCCTAATGGTTGTACAGTTTGTCATATGTTGCAGTTTGATGTCAGGAGTGCTGTAGATATTCAGAATAGAGAACATTGGTGATGCATTTACGTGTTTTGTCATGTAATATGTTGCAAAGCATACTTGTTTCTTTGGATAATAATGTGTCTTATCTATAGTCAGTGTTTGTAAATCATGCAATTATCATCATGATTCAAGTATTGTATTTTGATGTTTTGCTAATAAAAATTAAGAAAAAAGGGTTAATTACACTAATACTCTCTCAACTATTTGTGAATATCAACTTACTCCCCTCATTTATGGACCCGTATATTTTGACTCCTTCCACTATAAAAATGTATCAGTTTCAACCCCCTCTAGAGCACCTCCAAAAGGGGTGTGTTTGTACATTTACATAGGAGTATGAAGGCTTTGATGCTGTTGGGGGGGGGGGGGGTTCTTGTAATTAAGCCATTGTTTGAAGTTCAGTTTGGGCTAGAGGCTTATTGATCCCATGCTATTGCCTTCAACTCATTGACCATTATAATTGCTCGTGCCATACCCACCAGGGAAAAAAAGAAAAGAGGAAGATTAGTTAGTGCGATCAATTAGGATAATATTTTACCATTTTCTATTTGTTGAGAAATGGTTTTCTTTGAGAAGCTTGGTTTTGATGTACTGTTTCCCTTGAATGTTCTGAAATGTTTGCTACTATGAAAGTTTTAGTTCTTTGTTGGATCTTTTACGTTATTTATTGGATATTTTGCGTTATTTATTGACAATAATGTTTGTGAATATGCAAAATTCATGAAACTAGACTAACACAACTGGACAAAGTTTGTTTGATATAACTCTCGGAATAATCTGTCTGTGTGGAAGGCCATTTAGCTATATTTAGGAATAATATTGATTTGAATCATTTACCATCATGTGTAATTTAAGAGAATACAAAACTTACGTGTGGACGGAGTGTTGCGCAACTAAGAAACAACATGTAGATAAGATGAGCGTGGCTAAGATAAGGATGCTAAGGGGATGTGTGGCAAAACTAGATAAGACTGAATTAGAAATGAGTGTATTCAGGAATGGGAAGTAGCAGCACCGATAGAAAATAAGTTGAGAGAGAATCGATTGCGATGGTTTGGTCATATTCAATGGAGACCAATAGAGGCAGTAGTAAAGAGATGCGATGCAGTGACGGTCGATGGAAGTGTTAGGGGACCGGGTAAGCCTAGATTAACGTTGGTTAGCGTTGTAAATAGAGATATGAATTTACTTAATTTGACTAACGAAATGGCCTTTGATAGAGCCGCTTGGAGAAGAAGGGTACATGTATCTGACTCCATTTGATCCATTTGATGGGACTTAAGTCTCAGTAAAGGTGGTGCAGAAACAACTGGTTCCACCATAGGAGCAACAGGGAATCTCTTCACACCAAGGCTTCCCTTAAAGGGAGGACTATGACACCGGAGAAGACAAGAAGTAAGGACTGGAACTCAAAGAAAGTGACATCCATGGACACAAACCACTTACGAGAAGGAGGGTGATGACACTTATATCCCTTTTGAGTAGGCTAGTATCCGAGGAAAACACACTTGAGAGAGCGAGAGTCCCAACTTACCACAAGTAGGAGAATGTGGACAAAACAAACGCAGCCAAATATTTTAGGGGAATGGAAAACAAAGACTTTGAACCTAGGAGGACTTGAAGTGGAGTTTGTTTTTACAACACTTGGGTAGGTAGACGATTAATGAGATAGGCCACGGTGAGAACGGCCTCGCCCCAGTAACAAATATAGCACCAGCCGAGGTGTTATACAGAACTAGACGAGATGATGCTCATCTGGGAAGAATGTTAATTTCCACTGGTATTGCCTTAGAAATACCTTATGGACTTTATGGAAGACTGGCCCCTAGATCTGGACTTGCTCTAATACATGGAATAGATGTTGGAGCAGGAGTTATTGATCCTGATTATAGAGGGGAAGTTAAAGTACTCCTTTTTAATCATAATCAGGAGGAATTCATAGTTCGTGCTGGAGACAGAATCGCTCAGATCATCTTTGAGAAGGTCTCAACAGCTCCATCAGTTGCTCGAGATGGCCTGGTTGCTTAACCCAGTACTAAAGAACTAGCTCATAATATTGCCGTTATCTACGATCGTGTCTGTCTCTCTAGCAAAGTCAACCTGAAAGAATTTACGAATGGTTGGTCATGCCATTCGGACTAAAGAATGCTCCAGCGGTTTTTCAAAGGAAGATGGACTTATGTTTCAAAGGAAATGAAGACTATATTGCAGTCTACATTGATGAAGATAATCATTCAAGAACTTAATGATATCCTTCACATCTCTATCAGAAGAAGTAGATAAACCAATTCCTGGTGCTTCAGTTGTTTCAGATGCCGAACCTGTTACCCCATTAGCGAGTATGAAGGCTTTGATGCTGTTCAATTTATCCGATTACTACCGCAAGCAACCAGGCCATCTCGAGCAACTGATGGAGCTGTTGGTTATGATTTAACATCAATAGCCATGTATATAATCCCAGCCCAGGGAAGAATGTTAATTTCCACTGGTATTGCCTTAGAAATACCTTATGGACTTTATGGAAGACTGGCCCCTAGATCTGGACTTGCTCTAATACATGGAATAGATGTTGGAGCAGGAGTTATTGATCCTGATTATAGAGGGGAAGTTAAAGTGAAATCCATCTGAACAGCTGCTATCTTCATTTTTGTTGGGCTCAGGATTAGCCCATTCTTCTTGCAGATTTCAAGCATGGACTGGATATGCTTTGCATGAGATTTTTCATCAGGAGAGAAGACCAAAATATCATCAATGTAGACTGCAATATAGTCTTCAGTTCCTTTGAAACATAAGTCCATCTTCCTTTGAAAAATCGCTGGAGCATTCTTTAGTCCGAATGGCATGACCAACCATTCGTATAATCCAAGGGGTGTCCAGAATGCTGTCCATTCAATTGAATTACATTCTTCTTTTCCTATGAAGCCTACCAGCGACAGATGGAACGTGGTGAAAGGATGTCAAGCAGCAAACCACAGCCTGAACCACAGCCTGAATCCGACTCTTTCTTCTCTTCGCAGAAGTGGATAAGTTCTTCTATTTGCTGTAGGCCGACTAGAACCTCCATATCTTCCGGCACCACCTCTGCTGGCCATTCTGTAAATGAAAACAGTGAATATACAAGCCTTGAAAGAGCATCAGCTAGAGTATTATCAGAATCATTAATGTGTTCTAAAGATACATCTATGCCTAGGCCGGTTATGTAGTCTGTGAAGGCTATCCATCGAGATCGTGAAGGTTTATGGTCCACTGTTTTGTTGAAGAAACTGATTATTGCTTGACAATCAGTTCTCAAGGTTAGCTGCTGTTTATCAAGATAATATATCTTGAAAGATTCCAGAGAATTCATGCACGCATATATTTCAGCATCAATTGTTGATTTGATGGGATTAAACTTCCCACTGGCGTACGCGCAAATCTTTTCAGTGGAGCGAGGATCATTCGCAGCTGGCTTCCACTTACAGATTCCTCCCCATCCTTCCATACATCCATCAGTTTCAAGGATAATGGCGCATTGTAATGGAGGAATTGATAGATTTGGCAGCTTCTGGATCTTAGCTTTGATCTTGTGGATCAAGTCCCAATCTTGGGCATTAAGCCTCTTTTCACCGTTTGGGTTGACTTTCGAATAGAGTGGGCTTAACATTCGGCCCAAATCCTTAATGTAATTTCTTGCATAGTTAAGAAGGCCCAACCAAGAGCGTAAGCCCTTAGTTTCTTTGAGAGTGTCATCTGGGAACTGGGCCACCTTTGTAACTATGTGGGGTTGTAACTTTATTTCCCCTTGCCCAATTGTTGAGCCCAAGAAATCCATCTGAACAGCTGCTATCTTCATTTTTGTTGGGCTCAGGATTAGCCCATTCTTCTTGCAGATTTCAAGCATGGACTGGATATGCTTTGCATGAGATTTTTCATCAGGAGAGAAGACCAAAATATCATCAATGTAGACTGCAATATAGTCTTCAGTTCCTTTGAAACATAAGTCCATCTTCCTTTGAAAAACCGCTGGAGCATTCTTTAGTCCGAATGGCATGACCAACCATTCGTATAATCCAAGGGGTGTCCAGAATGCTGTCCATTCAATTGAATCAGGATGCATAGCAACCTGATGAAATCCACTTTTTAAGTCGAACTTGGAGTAAATACTACTATGACCAATCTTTGCCATTATAGTATTTATACCAGGTAGACTGTATTGATCCTTGTGGGTGTTATCATTCAACCTCTTGTAGTTGCACACCATTCTTTCTTTGCCACGTTTCTCCTCCTTTGTGACAGGATCAATATACGTACCAGAATTTACAATGAATGCAGTGGTACGATGCCGACTTTTGCTTGGCCTGATTACTTTGAGCTGAAGAAGCTGATCGATGTGCTTTCCAAAACTCTCCTTCATTGCTGGAGTCACATGCTTCATTGGCCTGTCATTGATTATGAAATCAGGATTCTTCAGGTCCAGCTTGCAAGTAATCTGATTTAGTGACCAATATTTCATAGGATCATCGCCTATGATGCCATAGTTTTTGAGCTGCTCCATTATTGCTGAGAATTTTTGCTCAAAATGTGGACTGATTTTAGTGGAATGAAATATCCATTCAGTTGAAGGATCATAATAGTGGTCCACTGTCAAATCTTCTTCCTCTTCAAGTCCTTCCAGAAGATTTACTGATTGTCGAGTCTGAATTGTTATTACATTCTTGTAGAATGTAACATTATCACCTTCTATTCTGACTCCTCCATACATTGCTCGGATAAAATTGCATCCGATGATCATCTGGATTCGACCTCCAAGGTGGAATGGGAAACTATACGTGTAAGGGATTCTGAACCAATTATCCCCTATGTACATTTTTCCACCTTTCAACTTTTTATTTGCCTTTGATCGAGAATTCAAACCATTAAATTCAACGGTATATGAATTT